TCGAGACCAGCCTGGGCTACAAAGTGAGCTCAAGGGCAGCCGGAACTGCATAGCGATACCCTGTCTCAAAAAAAAAAAAAAAAAAAAAAAAAAAAGGAAAAGGAAAAGGAAAAAAGAAATGTACAAAGATGAGGGATACTAAGGAACAAGAGTCATTTCAACTTTGGGTTGATGGCCTGGAGCCTTTTTATTTCCTTATCCTCCCAGTCTGTGAGACCCCTGCTTTTCATCAAGCTACACGCATCATCCGAAGGCTGCGAAAATGGGGGGTGGGGGAGGGGAGGGCATGGCAGGTGGTCTTGGAGGTGGAAGTGGAGAGGCCGAGGAGGGCAGTGTCGGAGCAGTGGGGTGGTGGGGTGTGGAGGAGTCTGTGGGGCTGACCACACAACCCTTAGGAGGAGCAGGGGCTGCTCAAAAACAACCACTGAATTCCGTTTCAAGTGAGAGAGGACCAGAAGGGAAGTCAGGAAAGGAGGTTCCCTTTCGGACAGTCACATGTCAGAAGGACTCAGCACAGTGCGAAGTGTACTCATTTCCATCGAATTTGGAGTTGTGTTGTCATAAAAAGTTATGAAGATGGATTTAGCTGACTTATGGAGAGTTGTGAGAGAAGGAAATGCAGACATCTGCAAGAGAGGGAGCGCAGCTTTCTGCCCGGAGGAGCCGTTTGCGTGGTTGACTCTGCAGCCTCCACCGCCTCCCCGCCCTAGCTGCAGGGGGCGCTGTGGGGCTCTGCTGGCTGCAGCCCAGTGGGTCCTCGGCTGTGCCGGTGCCTGTCCTCGGGAAGGGATGCAGAGACGCTCCGTGCGGGGGCCTAGCTTCCGCTGCTCATGATTTTGTTCTCTCGTTTAGGTAATGGGGCAAAGGGGCTTAAAGATAGCAGGGCAGAAACGCCTGAAATCTGAGAAGAAAGGTGTCTATGCTTCTCCTAGAAAGGGGGATTTTCCACACATAGACACAATGAGAACACAACACCGACAGTCATGCTAGAGAACAGAAAAATGAGATACAGTTTACAGCCCGGGGAGCCACAGAAGTGCGCTGTCAGACGGGGCGGGGCGGATGTGCACGTCCTCCCCTGGGCGTCCCCTCTCCCCCTGCAGGATGGAAAGGCTCCTTCTCGCCCTCACTGACCTTCGCTTCCAGTCTGGCCCCTGCCCCTGCCCTGGCGATCTGTGCCACTTTCCCCAGTGGGCGAGTTGCAGCCAACAAGATCTGGCTCTCGGCAGAAATGTTTTGACAATAAGGGAGGAAGGTGATGGAAAACCGTAGAGAAACGGCGGGCGCCTGGAGACCTCTTGCCTGGTCTGGGCTTGGAGGTGAGGCGGGGTCAGGGCATACACAGTCCTGTGGAAGTCAGGCGTCATGTTGTATGCTATCTTTAGTGGCTGAGATTTATATTGAAAGCTGTCTCCTGCTGCTTTTCAAACTTCACACCGGAAGGTCGCGTATTCTAGGTACCTGTGCCACACCTCTTGGTTTCTCTCTTTCTCTTAGAAACTGTCTACCTCACAATGACACACTAGTGCTGCAGAGCTAGAGTGTAGCAGAGAGGGCTGAGGACGCCGTGGCTGGGACATGGTGGCTGCTAATCCCAGTCACAGCACCCACGTCCCACAAGCCTGGTGGATCCGACCCCAAGGCACACCTTCCCTTCCCAGGTGTCGCTTGGCTTCTCACTCGCCCCTCAGCTGCCTGGAGCAGACGTGGAGCTCCCCCTGCAGGCGGCGCCCTCTGTGTGCACACTCCGCAGCCCTGAGGAGAGCATCTTGCGGTCTTGCTACTCGGTGCAGTGGGAGCTAAGCAATCGCTTTGTGAGTAGCCTGCTGCTCGGGAGGGCAGAGGGAGTGGAAGGAGGGGATGATGTTCCGCATCAGAATTAGCAATTTCAGCCAGGCGTGGCGGTGCGTGGCTATAATCCCAGCTGCTCCAGTGAGGGTTGAGTTGATGAGGCAGGAGGATCACAGGTTTGAGGCCAGCCTGGGCAACCTGGTGGGACTCCGCCTCGATATAAAATTTAAAAAGGTCTAAGGGTGTAGCTCAGTAGTAGAATGAGATCCTGGGTTCACTCCCCGGTACGGCAGAAGAGAAGTCTCAGGGCAGTGGTACCCTGTGGCAAGGGGGTGAACATGAAGAGTGTAGGAATGATGGGACGGAAAGGGCGTGGTTAATACAGACGCCAATAGGGAGAGAAGATGGAGTAGGCAGAATGAGGAGGATGGAAAAGGTGCAATAGCGGTTAAAGTTCAAAGAGTAAGGAAGGTGACTGTGATGGAGTGAACATAAGCATTCTGGACAAAGAGAAATAATGCCAAGTCGTGAGCTCCAGCACTGGAACTCGTGGCTTCTCGGGTGGTTTCTCTCCGTCAGCGCTGCTTCCCTTTCCCCTGTCACCTGAGTCCTAGGGGAGGTTTGTGTACTGGCATGGTCACTGCCCCTACCAAGTGGCAGAAGTCGGGGTCGGCGAGCCCTGCCCGTGGGGCCTCCCTCAGCCGCTTATCAACCTCATGCCCAGGGAGCGTCCAGGCAGGGCTCTGTCCTCTGGAGACCTCGGTTCCCTGCAGACACAGACCTTTGCAGGTTCTTTTCTCAGGTGGACGTTCTCACCTCTTTGTTGTGTGGGAACCGTGGTGGTGGAGGGGGATGAAAGCCCACATGTGGGGAAGCAGACTCGCAGGGGCCCGGCAGGAGGAAGACTTGAAGGAAGCTGCCGACGTGTGAGGAGACCTCTTTTGGTCGTGTGGGAGAAGCTCCTGCACTGCGATGAGAGAGAACCGCTGTGAGAGGCTACACGCCTGGTCTTCCTCTTCCCGTGGTATAGAGAGCGCTTCCCAGTCCTCCTCTCGGCCCAGGAAGTTTACATTTGAAATCCCATGAAAAGTTATTGGAATTCTAGCAAGTTAATTCCAATCTACCACTTCCAGTCCTCAGGGACTGTGATCAGTGGATAAGGTGCAACCCTGAAGTGGCCCGCATCTTTGAAAGGCTTGGGAATGGTTTTTGAAGTCATCGCTGATGTCTTAAACCACATCTGCTTGTCAGGGTACCTGAAGGAGCTGACACACAGGCACAGCGGGCTCCCCGGTGCCTCTGGAGAGTGGGATGGAGCTGGAACATGGGTAATATGCCTGCTGTCCCTGCGCTCTCTGCTCCAGAGCATCGGTGGGCCACCCCCCCACTCCCAGACCCCTGCTCCTTGCACGCATCCTTCTGCCTCTTCAGCACTGTGGGTTTAATCTCAGAGCTCCCACGTTCCTCACTCTTCTGTCTTTGTTTCTCCTCAGTGCTTGTCCTTCCTAATGCCCTGTGATCCTCCTTTTCCTGGGCCTCCTATCACACTTTTCCCTCAACCTCCCCTCTGGAGCCATCTGCCAGAATAACCCGGAGCGGCACACCCTCGCCTGGAGCTTCTGTTCCCTGCCTAGTTTTCCTGTTTACCCATGTGGGCTGGCAGCCTTTGTCAGGAAAAGCTGTGGCTGCAATTGCATGGCCACCCTCGTTGATGACAAAGGCGTCCAGGACGGTGGATGGCAGGAAAGCAGCGCACCTGTGGCTGCGACGCCAGTGTGGGGAAGCCGCCCCCCAAGGCCATGAAGGTGTAGATCCATCCTGCCTCGGGAGGAGCTCGCTCTTCTGACAAGCGCTGGTCCGGGAGTCACTTTGCTTCAGGTCTCAGCCCTGGCTGTGGATCTTCAGGTGCCCAGAGGTGTTTCTTAAAGTCTGTATCGGTGTTGAGATGCAAATTCTGGCTCCCAGCTGAGATCTGGTCGCTGGAAACTGGGGGTATGAGCCAGCAGTTTTTTGTTTGTTTGTTTTTCAGTACTAGAGATTGAACCCAGGATCTTGGTACCAAGCTACATCTTCAGTCCATTTTTTAAATTTTGAAACACTAATTTGGTAAATTGCCCAGTTGGGCTTGAATCTGTGATCTTCCTGCCTCAGCCTCCCAGAGTGCTGGGATTACAGTTATGTGCCATTGCACCTGCAATTTGTGTTTAGGCTGGGGCTGGAAGGTCTCTAGGCCCCTTACTAGGTCCCTGAACTCAAAGCAAAGCCACTTCCTGTGGCGGAGGCTGGCAGGAGTGTCTGTTGGAAGGGTTTTACTCTGCCCAGCACTGTTCTGAGCACCTCTTTTATGGATGTTGCAGTTTACAGCACCTCAGTGAGCAAAGCATTGCTGTCCATCATTAATTCCAATTTACAGCTGGAGAAGCGAAGGCACGCCCTGTGTAAACTGCCTGCGGCGTGGACTGCTAAGGTGGGACAGGTTTGAAACTTGGCAGCTGGTCACCACATTGCTCTGCGCCTTCCAGACCCAGGGTGAGGCAGGGACAGGCATGGTAACTTGTTCATTTCAGAACACACCCAGGGAAAGATTGGGGCAAACGTTCCTAGAAAAATCACTTACATTGCCTTGACAGAGTGCATTCAAAATCTTGAGCACTGAAATAAAATCCGTGTATAGGATTCACCAGCATCCCTCATACAGATCTTCCCAGTCCCCTCAGTCCGTCTTCTCCCATACACCATGCGGCCGCCAGCTTCCCCTCTCTGTGACAAGATACCTAAAAGAGTCACTCGTGGGGGAAGGTATATTTGGGCTCCAGATTGAGAGGTTTTGTGTATGGCCACTTTGGTCTATGGTGGGACAGGTGCGTGTGGTGCAGGAGGTCCATTCCACATGCTGGCTAGAAGCAAAAAGAGACAGGAAGGATGGGGAACCCAGTGTCACCTCGAGAGCACCATCACGGCCTCACTGACCCCACAGGGACCCACTTACTCGGTGTCCCGTGGTCTTCCGTGGTGCACAGACTGCTGACCAAGCTTGGAGCACATGGGGACCTGTGGTACATTTAAGATCCAGACTAGCACATGTGTGACATTTCCTGGGATGAACCAGCAGCAGACAGGGCTTGAGTAGAATGTGATCCCCGAGGCTTTGCTCCTCCCCGCTTACCGGAGCCAGCAGGCCATTAAAAGCCATCACTGATGTCAGTGAGTTTGTGGCTTGGCACCTGCACTTGAATTAAATTCTGGCTTCATGCCCTGTCCTCCTGTGGTCAGCTGTGCAGCCTCGAACAATCTAAGCTAGTCCGTCTTTTGAAGTGTTGGCCATCTTGTCCAGAGAATGATAATAATTTAGATCACTTTTCGAATCTAAGATCTTTCTGAGAAAGCTGCTAAGCAGAGAAGGCTCACCTAATCTCCCCCAGGAAAGAGGCTGGGTGCTGTGATTTTTTAAAAAATATCGGGGCTGGGGATTTAGCTCAGCCGCAAAGC